AAATAAACTGTCTTCCTGGCTTCCATCAGCTGCTCTAGCAAATTATTTAACCCAAGGAGAGGGTCGTGAAAATTTCCATCTTGTACCAAGACAGAAACGTGGGTTAGCTGGAGACCTATGGACTTGCAACTGGTGTCTGAAGTCAGGGCAGGGTCGTGGGACTGAGCCCTTGACCTGTGGGGTCTGCACTGACACCAGGGAGTGTCAGAATTGAATTGAACTGCAGGACACCCAGCTGGTGTCAGAGAATTAATCAGCAGAGGGAAAAACCCACACATCTCATCCCAGTGTGGAGTGAGTAGGGAGAAAAACAGTTTGGTTTTTCCCTACAGAACCGTCATAAATCAAAACAAATGAATTGTAACTATATCAATCACTCATTGTAATTTCCAACAATTTGTCAGAGAACAGCCATATAATTAAATTATCCTATATTGATTTTTCTTTTCAAAACCGACCTGCCTTTCCCTGAGGAAAAAAGAACCATTCACAGGCCCCATGTGGCTCTCAGAAGCTGATCTGGCTTCAACTGCGAGCGAGCTCTCGCCTAGAGGACCTGCAAGGATGCTCAGCCCTTGCCAAGCCGGGACAGGGTGCCAGGATTCCCTCTTTCCCCCTAGGTTGCCAGGTAGGATTTCTGTCCTTTGAGCAGGAGAAAGCAACAGGGCAGGCTAATGCCCCCTCCCCGTTCCCACCCATGGGCAGAAGGCAGTCTGTTCAGCCATTCCCCAGCGTGGGCAGAGAGGGGGCTGCGCAGCAGGCTCTCCACCATCATGGGGCTGCTCAGAGCAGGAGCTACCATATCAGGCAGAGACCAAAGCAACAGCTGAAGGTGTCTTTGTCCAAGCTGGCTGTCAGCAAGAAGGGGCAATCAAATATACATTTATATCACAAAGGCCTGAATTCTTAAGGCGACACAGAAATTAGGCTTTTGCAAGGTATCACCCCTGGGCTTGATCCTCCGGGTTGAGCAGAGGGCAGGAGCTCTCCTTGAGAGAGGACATATCTTGAGCAGCTCCGTAAGGTCAGGTGCTTCAGTATCCCGGCTCTGAAGAAAAAATCCCCTGTAGAATCGCACCTTGACACAAGGCAGAGATACATACTCCCAGTTTAGGTGAGCAGAGCTCCAGCCTTCCCTACCCTGAGCAAATTCCTGATGTTCCTAAGATAATGCAGAGTTCCAAGGCAAGGCAGCCTCCCCCACCTCTTTCTCAGGATATTCTGTTTTAATCTCTGCTGCCATCTCCACTCCAGCCGAGCCTCCTCCCACCACCACGATGAACCGTGAGCGCTGGACCTGGAGAAGAGGACACGTGAAACAGAGGGCCGCATGAAACACACCTGCGCATCTATCCCTGTCTGCTGGTTCCGCCTGTGGTGTGGCTCCCTGAGCCAAAGGAGGGCAGAGAACCCTTTTTCCACGTTTTGGGTTCAAATGCGCTTCCTCCTACCTACCTTACAGGATTGCTGTGGAAACTGACTGAGATCGTGGATCTAAGACCACTCTACAAAACACAGAGCCTCGTGCAAACCGGAGTGGAGGGGACCCTTGAAAAGCCCCGGGAGAGGCAAATCAGAAACATACCAAGGGCAGCATAAGCAGGTCTGGGGTGCTCACATCGTGGCTCCAGCAGCAAGTTCAAGGTCTCTTCCCAGGCCAGTCTCTTCCTAGTGACTCTCCATCTCTATGGCTATAGCCAGCAGCTCTGAACACCCTCGTGGCCTCCCGGCTGTGGGCCTAGGCATCCCCACGGCTGTCCTCCCATCTGTCGGCACTGCCCCATGCCTTCAGCGCACAGCTCACCTGCCTCACCATGTCCTCATAGGCCTGGATAGCGGCCTGCTGGCTGGAAACTTCGTTAAACTTGCCCGGGAAGGGCCCAGTGCTGCCCGTGGCCAGGATAAGATGCGAGAAGGGCAGGGCCTGAGACAGACCAAAAACAAACAACAACCACAAAAAAAGATGAGGGTAGGGCAGGGCAGGCCTAGGCCTCTGCGTCCTGCTCCTGGCCTGCCAGCCGGGCAAACCAGGTGAAAAGGTCCCTCTAGGAACCCGAGGCAGCCCCCGTGGGAGGGGGCAAAACCATCACACTGGTTAGCTCAAGGGATGGCACGAGCACCTGGGGAAAGATCTCAGGAAGCAGAGTTTACCTCCTGCCTGGAGAACCTTGCTCATGTTGCTCAGGCCGGAAGGCAGTGGCTGCTCACAGGTGTGATCCTGCTACTGATCGGTCTTTCTTTCCCTTTCTTTCTAGCAGAGGCAGGAGGAGGGCTCTTTTAAAACACCTGGGAGGTTCTGAGCTAACTCCAGCAGGCAGTGTCTGATCCTGTGGCCCTGCCTCCTGCCTTCGGGCTGCCCCTCCCACTGCCATGCTGGGTGGCTCTGGTGGCCCGCTGGAGTTAGCTCAGAACCTCCCAGGTGTTTTAAAAGAGCCCTCCTCCTGCCTCCGCCAGAAAGAGAAGAAAGGGAAAGAAAGACCGATCAGTAGCAGGATCACACCTGTGAGCAGCCACTGCCTTCCGGCCTGAGCAACATTAGCAAGACCCCATCTTAAAAATTAAAAGTAAAAAAATTGTTAGGCCAGGTGTGGTGGCTTACACCTGCAATCCCAGCACTTTGGGAGGCCAAGGCGAGCGGATCATCTGAGGTCAGGAGTTCGAGACCCGCCCTCCCAACATGGTCAAACCCCGTCTCTACTAAAAACTAAAAAAATTAGCTAGGCTTGGTGGCAGGTTATTATAGCCCCAGCTACTCGGGAGGCTGAAGCAGGAGAATCGCTTGAACCCAGGAGGCGGAAGTTGCAGTGAGTCAAGATCGCGCCATTGTACTCCAGCCTGGGAGACGGAGAGAGACTCTGTCTCAAAAAAAAAAAAAAATTTAATAAATAATAAAAAATATTTTAAACAAAGAAAATGAAATCTTGTTTGGAGCGTAAATATATAAAGTTGACAAACAGAGCTGCTCCAATGGGAGGGGCTGGAGGGGCTGGAGGGCCTGGACTTTACTCAGGCCCCATTTCCCCCTGGACCCCCGAGATTCCCTCATGGAAACTTCCAGGGCTCCAAAACACATGACCAGAAACTGCAGGACCAGGAGACACTCAGTAATCTTTCCAACCATGGGAACCATCTGGCCCCATTAATTCAAGGACTGGGCCACACCAAATCACATACTCATCGAGGAAAGGAATTGTGTCTCCTTTTGTCAATGCCGCCTTAGCCTTAAACACCAAGTGGGCCTGGGCTGGACGCGACACTCATCCTGAGCTGGTGGCAGCTTGTTGATGGAGCGCAAGTCATGGCAGGTGTGCGCCAGGCTCCACGTTGCACGTGCCAGGTGGGGGAACACACAGATGAGTAAAGGGAAACCTCTGCCCCGTGACGCCCCGATCCATGTGAGACCACATGTGTGCCTAACTTTTTGTTCTAGACAGAGCTGAGGGCTGGCCAGGCCTGGGACTTACCTGGGACACTGGTGTTTAGAGCATAGACACTGGGCTAAAATTACGTGGGTTCAAATCCCGGTTCAGTCTGTTACCAGCTATGGGATCTTAAGCAAGCCATTTAACCCGTTAGCCTCTCTGTAAAATGAAGTTATACCACCTTCCCCATAGAGGCACGGTCAACACTCATGAGATTTATGTAAAGGCTCCAAACAGGGCCTGGCATGAAGGAATTACACAAGAAATATCTGTTACCATATTCTTGTGGTTGCTGTGGTCAAGCCTTTGTTCATGAGGAACCCCTGCCCAGCACAGCCAGGGCTTAGGGCTCACAGACAGCATTCTCTCTCTCTCTCTTTTTTTTTTTTTTTTTTTTTTTTTTTTTTTTTTTTTTTTTTTTTTTGAGATTGAGTCTCACTCTGTCACCCAGGTTGGAGTGAAGTGGTGTGATTTCAGCTTACTGCAACCTCCGCCTCCTGAATTCAAGGAATTCTCCTGCCTCAGCCTCCTGAGTAGCTGAGATTACATGCGCCCACCACTGTGCCTGGCTAATTTTTGTATTTTCAATAGAGACAGGGTTTTGCCATGTGGGCCAGGCTGGTCTCAATCTCCTGATCTCAGGTGATCTGCCCACCTTGGCCTCCCAAAGTGCTGGGATTACAGGTGTGAGCCACCGCACCAGCCTAGCTCTCTCTTGACCCTGGAGGATCCTGCCCAGGCCCTGCAGAGGGCCCTTGGGCCAGCTGGCAGCCAGGCCAATGCTCACTCACCTCGCCACCCTGCAGCAGCACCGTCTGGTTCTTCAGGTCTATCCCCACCACATGGCCCTGCCGGAAGTTGTCCTTAAAAGTCAGCGAGTAAGAAATGAATGTCTTTTTGGCGAATCCTGGGGAATGGACACAGAAGAGGTCATGGGGCAGAGCTAGGCTGCCCACAGGAAGCCAGAGTGACTCAGAACCTTTCATGAGCTGCATACCAACAGGGGTGCCCTTGGCCAAAGAGTTGGGCCAGCAGGTATGCCTGGGGTACCCCTGCCTCCTAAAGCACCAATCTGGGCCTCAGACCCTCCAAATAGGTCAAGCTTCTACTTCTAGGGTCTCATTATGGTGGCTACTTAAGACCAAAGACCTTGAGATTCTCCAGAACTTGTCTAATAGTGGAATGTAGGCACTTTGCCCCAAGTGGAGAAAACCACCCCCAGCCCTAAAATCACACCCCAGAGCGGAGACGAGACCACCTTCACAGAGACAACCCAGCCGGAGCACGTTACCTCTCTCCACCGAGGCTCGGAGGGCAGCCACATTGTGGTGGAAGGAGTCCTTCATGTCCACCAGCGTGAAGGGGATGTGCAGCGCCTGCAGCTGGCTGGCCGCTGCGATCCCGCCGAAGCCCCCACCCACAATCACGACGTGCAGAGCTCCCGATTCCACCGAGACCTGGGACCCCATCTCAAATCAGGCACTGGTGGGAAGGAAGAGGTGAGCACATCAGAGTCAGGGTGGCTGGGAGGACTGGAGGGCCCACAGTGAGAGAGGCCTCAAATACCATGAATTGACCCTTTTAGATGAGGTAAATCTTTGATTAATGAAACTCCAATTTTATAAAATTTGAATTAAATTCAGAAGGAACAAGGGGGTGTCCCACATCCAGCCCATCCCCCAAACACCCAGTTCCCTTCTCCAGAGGCACCCACTGTTACCAAGTTTGGATGACTCCTTCCAGAGATAGTTTATGCACCTATAATCATGATTCGTTTTTGCACCTATTAAACAAAGTGTTATGCACATTTGTTTTTTACTTGATATATTTCATCAAAGACTTTTGGAAGAGGTTGCAGTGGGACAGGAGGGAAAAAAAGACTTTTGAAGAGGGGAGTAATGTCCACTCAAGAACATGTATGAACTAAACTCCTCCTTTTTGACATGCTCTGTGTTGTGGATCCTGCGATCAGACAGGCAGATATGGTCCCTGCCCTTATAAGAACAGAGCTTGCAAAGTCAAAGAACCAGGTGGGCAATGTCAGTGATGTGGGAAGCTGGGCAGAGGCACAATAACAAGAAAGAGTGGGCACACCTGGCAGGAACTGGCAAGCATAGGTCACATCTAAAGGAACAACAGAAAAACACTCTTCAAGCACTGCACTAAGCAAACACTACAACCAGATTCGGCCCAGCTCAAAGGTCACCAACTTGCGCTCCAGGTCTAAGGAGTCCAATCAGCAGGTTACGACAAGAATCCTGCAAAATTCTGTGGCGAGGGTTTGAGTATGTTTCCCAGAAAGCATCAGTGTTGAGAGGTGCAGCCTAATCAGAGGTGATCGGGTCATGAGGTCTCCACCCTCATGAATGGATTAATGTCAATTATAAAAGGGCCTCTGAGGCTGCAAGTTCAAGGTCTTGCTCTCTCACTCTCTCTTTTGCCTTCCACCATGGGATGACTCAGCATGAAGGCCCTCACCAGACACTGGGCCCTTGATCTTGGACTTCTCAGCCTCCAGAACCATGAGCCAAGACATTTCTGTTCACTATAATGACCTAGTTTGTGGTATTCTGCTGTAGCAGCAGGAAACAGACTAAGACAAATGTGGTGTGAACTAAGGCTGTGATAATGGAGTAGGAAGCAGGGGCCACTGGCATGTGCTACAATGCCTGGCTGATTTTTAAATTGCTTGTACAGATGGGGCTGGGTGCAGCAGTTCACTCCTGTAATCCCAGCACTTTGGGAAGCTGAGGCAGGAGGATCTTTTGAGCCCAGGAGTTCCAGACCAGCCTGGGTAACAGAGAGAGACTGTCTCTACAACAACAACAACAACAACAACAACAACGATTAGCCAGCATGGTGATGTGCACCTGTAGTCACAGTTAACTGGGAGGCTGAGGTGAGAAGATGAACTTGAGCCCGGGAGGTCATGGCTGCAGTGAGCCATGGCTGTGCCACTGCACTCCAGCCTGGGCCACAGAGTCAGACTCTATCTCAAAAAATAAAATAATAAAAATAATAATTATTGGTAGAGATGGGGTCTCAAACTCCTGATCTCAGGTGATCTGCCCACCTTGGCCTCCCAAAGTGCTAGGATTACAGGTGTGAGCCACTGTACCAGCCTAGCTTTCTCTCGACCTGGAGGATCTTGCCCAGGCCCTGCAGAGAGCCCTTGAGCCAGCTGGCAGCCAGGCTGGCCCTCACTCACCTCGCCACCCTGCAGCAGCTGGTCTCCCCATGTTGCCGAGTCTGGTCTCAAACTCCTGGGCTCAAGTGATCCTCCCACCTCAACTTCCTAAAGTGCTAGGATTATAGGCATGAGCCACCATACCCAGCCCCCAATTCTTTATGTAACCTGAAGATGGTATATAAGCTTCTATACCTCTTTAGGGGGCTGGGTCTTCCTTCTGAAGGCTCCTGTGTTTACACATTGAATAAATTTGTATGCCTTTTATCCGACACAACAGCCTTGACCCCTACAGCAGCAGTTGCCTGGGCTCTCCAAGCCAGCCTGGAAGGCTGGCAAACAGGGTCACCTGGTGCATCCTGGAGTCTGCCCTTCTGAGGCTGTATCAGGAGTCTTATCTCCAGCCCAGCAGAACCCCAAAGAAGGATGCTTGCAGTGTGGGCCTCAGGCAGGCAGAGGGCTGCTGGTGTCAGAGGAGCCACCCAGCCCATTGAGGGGTACTCTTGACTGCAGCTGAGACCCGGAGAGGTGACAGTCAATCAACCCACCTCCTGGTCTGTGCTGAACCCTAAAGAGAGGCATAAATAAGCCAGGCTGCTACGGGCAGATGCTGAGAAAAGAAACAAAACTCACACTAAACAGCAGGCAGACAGGCTCAACAGCTGCTGTGGGTTTCAGGAAGGGGGATGGGAGGGGGTGTCAATGAAGGAGGAAATACTCAAGCACTCTGAGGTCAGCCTTGAAGGATAGACATCAAGCCACTGAACAGCCTCATAAGGAAGTGTGTTCCAGCTTATCTGGGACCCTCAGGCCACTGGAAAGCCACTGCACTGCTCTGATCATCTGTGCAGGTCTGGGGCACAGCTCCTTCCCTTTCTGGGATGCAATTTTCCCCCTATAATGGGAGGGTACTATAAGGCCTACCCAGCTACAATATCCTGAGATGTCCTCGTATACACTGGTTTCCAAGACATGGTGGTGGTTCCCCAAAACAGTCCCCAAATCATCCCACATTTATGGGGGCAGCTTTTGGTTAGAACTCTGGGCACTATTGCCATTGGTGTTCAAATGCCCACTGCCTAACTTCTCCCCTGGGGGAGGAAGGTATAGCAGAGGGAGGGTACTGACACAACAGACTGGAGGGGATTTGAAGTCATTTCTCATGGGTCAAATTGTCCCCAAAGCACTGAGGCTTGGACATTCCACCCATTTTACAGATGAGAAAACTGAGCCCTGGCCATGACAGGGCCCAGGACAAACCCCCCAGCAGGCAGGGTCGCTTTGGTTCCTCTAAGCCCTCGGAAGGGTTGCCCAGAGCCAATCCCCTGAGCCTACCTTACACTGAATCTGCCAACTGGGACAGAAGGGAATGAATGTCTCCTGGGGACCAGTACCCAGGAGGGCCCACAGGCCCAGCCAGAGGTAGCAGTGAACACCAGGTGCTGAGCAGGGCCTGAGAATGTAGGCAGTGATAAGGCAGGCCCATGGGTGGCATGTTTCACCAGGCCCGGCAGCGTGGACCCCTCTGTGCCGGGTCCTGCCCTTGGGGCTTTCAGCCATGGATGAGGTCAAGAAAATAGAAAGCCCCACTTCTAAGCTAGCTGGCATGGCCCCCGAGAGAGGCTACACAGCTTGTTGGGGATAGGGATAGGGGAGTCCCCTGTGTGTCAGGTAACACTGGACCACCCAGCGACACTCAAAGAGAACAGCCAAGAGCCCTGAAAAAGAGCTGAGATCAGGGGCCTTCCTAGCAGAGGTAACAACTTGGGCCAGAGGCCCAGTGGCAGGAAGGGAGGGGGCAGGTGGAGTTCAGGGCACCTGTGGCAGAAGGTGGAGAGGCTTGGAGGGCAGGTGACGGGGCCGGCACAGATAGACAGCCTGCCATGCCAGGGCAGCTTTAACAACCAGATGGACATATAAGCCTCCCCGGGGCCCTTCATGGGGTCTTTTACTCTTCCTGGGTAAGAAAGTCTAGTGATCTCAGAGTGGACCTCAGGGCCAATGAGTTGGCCAAAGGAGCCAAGCCCTTGAGCCCCCAGGTCCCTAGGATAATCAACCTGCTCCTTGCCTCACTCAATGAAGGTGAATTGCTTATCTGGTGTTCCCTGCAAAGGGCCTGGAGCCTAAGGGCACACCCAGGCCAGGGCAGGGCCAGGGAGGGAAGGCACTTTTCCTCTTCATGCTGCCTGAGGCCTCTCCTGCAATCTGCTCTCTTCTCTCTCCTCTACTGACCTCTGCCACCCTTACTTGTGGAATAGGGAAGCCAGTGACTCTCCAGCACACTTCACCCTTCCTCTTTAGCAGCTACTTGCCCAACACTGTTGGACATGCCAGCTCTCCTTGGCTCTGCCAGTGTCGGTTCTTGCCTGGCCCCTGAGGACAGTGAACTCCCCTCTGCTTGGCCATGACCTACTTGGGCAGATACCTAAACCAAGGGCTTAAGGTGGAGCTGCATTTCCAGCCACACACACTGTGGGTGATGGAAATGCACGTACAGAATTAGTGGATGTCCAGTTATAGGTTCCAACATGGCAGTGGTGCTGTGCAAACCTCCATCTGTGTGACGCTCCATCAATCAATGCACCAATGAGAGACTACAGGATAAACTGTTATAAACCCCTGCAATGCAATACTATGGAGCCAGTCGGTTTTAAAGGGTGAGTGATGTTCTGGTTTGTTTTGTTTTTTGAGATGGAGTCTCACTCTGTCGCCCAGGCTGGAGTACAGTGGCTCAATCTCGGCTCACTGCAATGTCTGCCTCCTGAGTTCAAGCCATTCTCCTGCCTCAGCCTCCCAAGAAGCTGAAACTACAGGCATGTGCCACCAGGCCCAGCTAATTTTTTTTTGTATTTTTAGTAGAGACAGGATGCTGTCACCATGTTGGTCAGGCTGCTCTCGAACTCCTGACCTCAAGTGATTGGCCTGCTTTGGCCTCCCAAAGTGCTGGGGTTACAGTTGTGAGCCACTGTGCCCAGCCTGTGAATGTTGTTTTTATACAAAAAGACTGTCTGTGAAAAAGTCAGTCAAGGGCTGGGTGTGGTGGCTCCTGCCTATAATCCTAGCACTTTGGGAGCCCAAGGCAAGAGGACTGTTTGAACCCAGGAGTTTGAGGCTGCAGTGAGCTATGATCGCACCATTGCACTCCAGCCTGGGCAACAGTGTGAGATCCTGTCAAAAAGGAAAGAAGAAAGAAAGAAAGAGAGAGAGAGAGAGAGGAAAGAGAAAGAGAAAGAGAAAGAAAGAAAGTGAGAGAGAGAGAGAGAGAGAGAGAAAGAAAGAAAAAGAGAGAAAAAAGGAAGAGACAAGACAAGAAAAAGTCAGGCAATATTTATTTACTGATTTTTAATTTTCTTAGGGACCAGGGTCTTACTCTATCGCCCACGCCAGAGTGCAGTGGCACGATCATAACTCATTATAACCTTGAACTCCCAGCCTGGCAAATTTTTTTTTAATTTTTTTGTAGAGATGAGGGTCCCACTATGTTGCCCAGGCTGATCTTGAACTCCTAGCCCCTCAAAGGATCCTCCTGCCTTAGCCTCCCAAAGCACCTGAATTACAGGTGTGACGCACTGTGATTTTGAGTTGTGGAAAAGATTCAATGAGATCATTTACGTAAAAGGTTTTCAGCATGGTACCTGGTGCACAGTAGCAGTGAATACACAGCAGCCATTTATTATATATATTTTATACTGGAGATTAGTTTGCCTGGTCCCAAAAACTCAGGCCACAGAACCGCATGTAAAATCTAATCCCATTTATGGGCAATAAGACACATGCACCTCAGTGTGTATACACATACACATGCAACGATTACAGCAGTTAGCATTTGTTGCACTTTTATCCGTATCTTCTCATTTAACATGAGTTTTTTCTGCTTATTTTGGAAAAAAGTTCAACAACTTGCCGAAGTTCAATTCTCAACACATCAAACCTGTTCTCTGAACCAGAATGCTAATAGCAATCATAGATGATGTTTTAATTTTCTTCCTTAAGCTTTGTATTGTTTGAATTGTTTCAAACAAGATATATCATTTTTGCAGAATAAGTCTTTTAAAACAGGTCAGCTCACCATCTAATTTTTTTAATCAAAATAGAATTCACATATACAATTTACCACTTAAGATGTAAGTTCATAGTGAGCTATGATTGCACCACTGCACTTCAGCCTAGGAGAAACCCCATTTAAAAAAAAAAAAAAAAATGAGATGCAGGCTGGCTCAGACCTGTAATCCCAACATCTTGGGAGGCCGAGGCAAGCAGATTGCTTGAGCTCCAGAGTTCAAGACCAACCTGGGCAACATGGTAAAACCCATCTCTACAAAAAATACAAAAAAGTAGCCAGGTATGGTGGCTCATGCCTGTGGTCCCTGCTACTCAGGAGGCTGAGGTGGGAGGATCGCTTGAGCCTAGGAGGTAGAGGTTACAATGAGCCATGATCGTGCCACTGCACTCCAGCCTGGGTGCCAGAGCAAGACTCTGTCTCAAAAGAAAAAAATTTTTTAAATCTAAAATTTAAAAAAAGAGATGTAAGTTCAGTGGGTTTTAGGGTATTCACCAGGTTGTGCAACCATCACAACTATCTAATTCCAGAACACTTCCATTACCCACAAAATAAACCCTGCACCCAGCAACCCTAACCCTGTTCTTTCTGTCTCTACAGATTTATCTATTCAAGACAATTCATGTAAATGGCATCATACACTATGTGGCTTTTTTCACTGATCATAAAGTTTTCAGGTTCATCTGAGTTGTACCATGTATCAGTGCTTCATTTCTTTTTATGGCTGAATAACAGTCCATTATTGGTCTCATAGACTGTAATTAAGAACTTGGGTTGTTTCTACCTTTTGACTATATTAATAATGCCACTATGAACATCTATGTACAGGTTTTTGTGTGATCCGGTCTTTAACCCTCTTTAGTATATACCTAGGTTTGGAATTGCTGGGTCATATGGTAACTCAAAGTTTAACTTTTTGAGGAACTGCCAAATCCACCCTCTGATTTTGAACTAAATGCCAAACCCCCAGTGGGAATCACAGAGAATCTTAAATATGTCTGTCTAGGTTCAGGAATGTTAGCCTAAAAGAATGCCTAAGTGAACAGAACAAACTAAGCTGCTGATTGTCCAGCAACTCCTCAGTAACTTTACCTTTGCTCGCTCCCACAACACACACACATGCACACACACACACAAAATCTGATTTACACAAAAATTTGTTCAGTCAATCCTGTTTTCTCTGCCAGGAGCATCCACCCTGATCCCGGGTATTCTTCTTCCACAATAAGCGGCCCATAGGACTCTACTGAAAAACCAGGAAGTCACATGTATGCCAAAGCTGTTGAGAGGTCGTGCCTCAGAAGACACACAGCGGGAACCATGTGGGCTCTGATCAAAGCAAGAATGTCATCCCACAATTGCTCCAGTATTGCTTCACAGAGATTACAAATAAAACATGATGCTTTTTGAGTCATCATGGTTCATGCAGAGGATAGGTTTCAACATCAGCCTCTGGGGAGCCACGTTCCCAGAGTGGCCGTCCCAGATGAGAAGGCCACTAAGACACGACTCACAGAGCCATGGACGTTCCCTCCACCTGGGAGACAGAGCAGGATGGAGAAGGTTGGGAGGCCTCCCTCCCTAGGATACTCCCCGGCCAGTCCCTCAGGGGCTACTTGAAGAATATAATCCCCAAAAGACCAATTTCTGAAAGGGGACTCAAAGCCTGAAGGGAGGCAGCCTCCCTTCATTCCTAGGAGAGGGCAGCTCTGGAGCAGACAGGCTCATTTGGATGTCATATTCACTCCTGCACAGAAAACCTAGGCCAAGCAACTTGTCCATCTCATCTCATCTGTTACTCAGTGGTCCCCATGGTCTGCCCACCACCTGCACCTGGATGCTGGCTTCACTTAATCACCAGACAAAAGCCAGGCTGGCCCTGGAGTCCATCCACCTGCCCAGCCCATCACTTCTGGGCTGGGTAGTCCTGAGCAAGGCCCCATCCTGGCTGGGGCCCAGTGCCCTACTTGGCGACACACTGGACTCCTTGGAGAACTCCTCTCTAGGTGCTGGGGTGAGGGAGGTGGGATCTGAGGTCCCGGGGCTCTCTGGCAGGTGTATGCACGCACACTGGAACCAGATACTGGCTTTTGAACCCAAGTGCAGAGTCCGGAAACCTGGAAGTCCCATCCCAAACTATGTCTGACCCTCTGCCTACGCCTGTCCTCCTACAGAAGCATCAGCTCCCAAGAGACCTTACCCCTCCCCACCTTAAATTCCAGGGTCAAAAAGACTCTCATTGTAGAGAAAGGCAGAGTGTGCTGATCAGGTGGTGGTGGAAGGAGAGCCCCAATATCGCCCACTGATTCCGTTCCAGGTCGACTGCACGCGTCCCATCAGTTAGTTTACCCCCCACTGGTCCTTGTTCCTGCAGCACCCAGGGCTTCGGGAGGGGAGAAGCAGACCTCCTAGTGCACCCCCCGAGCCTGAGGGCACTGGTGTAACTCCAGTCTCTTTCCTCTTGGAGACTGAGATTTCTCCCAGTCCTCTCACACCTGCTTCTGTACGGACCGGCAGCTTCTACCCAGCGGACCCTCGGAGGGTCCTCGCAGGATCCGGGTTACACCTGCCCCATGTTCCCTCTTCTCCAGTTGGCCCTTTCCTGCCTAAGCCCATCTTCCTTAGGAAAACTTAGCAGGGATTTAGGGGCCAAACAAGGGCTCCTGTCCTCGACCGGGAGCAAATTTCCCTGTTGTGTTTTCTGCAGGGCACAGAGAGGGACGGGCCTGAGCCGAGTATCCCTCTCCTCGCAGCTCCACAACCGCGCGCACCGACCTCCCCACGCCGGATGGGGCGTGCGCCCGGCCCCCGATCCGCGAGCCCCTCTTCCCGGTCCTCGGTCCTCGTCCTGCCGGGGCGCCCGGGGTGTGGAGCCCGCCCTGCCGCGCGACCTCACCTGCCGGTGGCGCCCGCACGCTCCCACTCCGGCTCCGGCCGCTCTTCCCGCTCCCGCTCCCGCTTCGTTTGTCGTCTTCCAGAGCTGCCGGCCCGAGGCGCTCGCAGGCGGGTGTGACTCAGCACTCGCGCCGGCCCCAGACCCCGCGGCAACGCCCCGGCCGGGCCCCGGAAACGGTCCTGGCACGCCGGGGCTGGTCCCCGAACGCCCGCAGGACTGACCTTGACCCCGAGCGAACGGCCTCGAACTTTGAAACAAATCCTCCCAGGGCCAGATGTCGCCTCTCCGGTGCCTGCCAGCACCCGCGCCCCAGCCCTGCCCGAGCCACTCCGACTTGGCGCAGTGTCCTTTCAAAATATTTGAAAGCAAAAAGAAAGAAAAGAAAGTGAGGGAGGGAAGGAAGGAAGGAAGGAAGGAAGGAAAGCAAGTGTCCCCCTGTCCCTCTGACTTTCTCAAAGACAACTTTAAAGCCACTGGGACCTTAGAGAGCAAGGCTACCCTCACACCTTGGGCACACTGCCAGCCTCCTTCCTTCAGACATACGCGTGATAATTCTGCAAACCCTGTTGAGCTCTTACGTTTGCCAGGCACTGTGCAAGGTGTTGCGGGGATAACGTGGAGGCAAAAACAGACAAGGTTCCTGCTTTCGGGGAGGCCACAGTCTGGGAAAAGACAGATGTTAAACACACCACCAAAACACAGTTATATAGACAAAACAAAAACCACGTATCAGCAACTGCAGTAAGAAACATCGGGCATGGCCAGGCACAGTGGCTCATGCCTATAGTCCCAGCATTTTGGGAGGCTAAGGCATGAGGATCACTTGAGTCCAGGAGTTGGAGACCAGCCTGGGCAACAAAGTGAGACCTACAAAAATTAGCTGGGCATGATGGCGCACACCTGTAGTCCCAGGTTCTCGGGAACCTGAAGTGGAAGGATTGCTTGAGCCCAGGAATTTGAGGCTGCAGTGAACCATGATCACACCACTGCACTCCAGCCTGGGTGACAGTGAGATTCTGTCTCAATAATAATAAATGAAATGAAAATAAAAAATAAAAAAAGACTGGGGGCAAAGGAAAGGAGCAAATACCTCTCTCCAAAGATGAGAGTTAGATTTAGGTAAAGAGGAAAGAAGTGTGGTCTGAATGTGCAAAGACCCACAGGCAGGACAATGACCTGGAAGGCAGTGTATTGCCATCTCAAATCAGGTCAAGCTAACTCAGCGAAAGATAAGCCATCTCCATCTACTTACTGCAAATATTAGCACCTACCTTAAG